AGAATCCATCGTAATTAATCATAGAAAAAAGGGGAAGAATTAAGTCTGCAAAGACAGAAACGTTAGAAATAGCCAGTTTAAATCATGGAACACTCGGCTAGAGGGATGGCAGTGGGGTGCTGTGAGTGGAGCTGTAATTCCAGGTTTTCTTTGAAGGGGGGTGGAAATCTGTGAACCCTTCCAGGCTCATAAATTTTATTATATCACAAATACCTCCCCTCCTAAGTTAGTGTGAAGATTATGGCATCATACATGTAGAGCACAGTGAAAGTGCTGAATAAACGTCAGCTATCGTTATTATTGTTCCCAGAAAGATGAGGGTACTGAGATCAGGGTGACCAACCCTTTCCGTTTGCCCAGATGCTCTAGGTTTTAACACTGAATGTCCTGTGTCCTGTGAGTCCCCTCACCCCCAGGACACAAGCAGTTCCAGGTTTTCAGCTTTTGTTGGGGTCGAGGAGGGTGGAGGAAAGTGACTGAATTCCTATTTTCCACAATCAAATGATAATCTCCTGTCAGAGGCCCAGCATTTCCTGTTTCTACCCTATCTTTCCCTCACACTGTCACCTGCCTGCAAAAAAGAAGGAAATTCTTGTCCTGGGAGACAAATCAGCACATTGCCCTGAAGAGGGCGGCCTAAGGCTCCATCTGGACTTGGTATTCTCTGCACCACTCAGCAGCTACCAGCAGAGGGCACACTCCAGCCTACCCTGATCACTGTCTGTATCCCCTCCCCTGAGTTTCTGCCTCCTATGAAGTCTTAGTACATTGCTCTTCCAAGCTTAGATGTGTGCATCCCTTTTCCTCTCCTGTTTTTCCCTCCCTTCCTTTCTTTCTCCTTTCTTCCTTCCTTCCCTCCCTTCCTCTCTCCTTACTTCCTCTCTCCCTCCTTCCCTTCGTTTCCGTGAGTAAAGTTGCAAGGAACACAAGCTCACAATCACAAGTCACGAAGCACACATTTCAACAACCACTATGATGACAGATTTAATAGGAAAAAATATGATCAATCCCACCTGCAAAATCTACAGCTATGAAGATAATCGGACACAAAATATAAAATAAGTATCTTTAATACTTAATAAAATAGGGCATTTGAATTATGACTAAAGAACAAGACATTAGAAAAAAAGAAACAGAAAATTTTGAAAAAAATAAAGTAGAACTTCTACAGATAAAAAAAAAAAAGGAATTTAGAAATTAGAGACTCTAGATGGGTTAACAGCAGATTATACATAGCTGAAGAAAAAATTAATGTATCAATATATAGCTGAAAAAATATCAATATATAGCTGAAAAAATATCAATATATAGCTGAAAAAATCCCCAGAATGCAGCATGGAGAAATAAAGAGATAAAAAATGTTAAAGAGAGTTTGAGCCATAGGACAAACTAAAAATAGTTCTTACCAGAGTTACGAAGGAGATAAAGAAAGGATAGGGACAGAGGGTCATATCTTGAGAGGAAAGGAACTAACAGTTTTCCCAAACTGATAGAAGATATGAATTATCAGTTTCAAAGGTTTAGTAAATCCCTGAAAAGACTTAAAAAGAAAATCTACATTTAGAAAATCAAAGTGAAACTGACAAAACCAAAGACAATCTTAAAACCAGCCAAAGAGAAAACACAGATTAATTTACAAAGAAATGACAAATCAGACTCTTGATTTCTCAACAGCAATGATGGAAGCCAAATCAAAATGGAATTATAGGGCTTCCCTGGTGGCGCAGTGGTTGAGAGTCCGCCTGCTGATGCAGGGGACATGGGTTCGTGCCCCGGTCCGGGAAGATCCCACATGCCGCGGAGCGGCTGGGCCCGTGAGCCATGGCCACTGAGCCTGCGCGTCCAGAGCCTGTGCTCCACAACTGGAGAGGCCACAACAGTGAGAGGCCCGTGTACCGCAAAAAAAAAAAAAAAAAAAAAAAAAAAAATGGAATTATACTTCAAAGTACTGAGTCAAAATAACTGTCTACTTATAACTGTATACCCAGCAAAAGTATCTACCAAAAGCAAGCATAGAGTAAGTATATTATCTGACACACAAAAACTGAGAGAGGTAACTACCAACGGTCCCTCACTTCTGTTTCTAGAGAAACTTCTCAAGAATAGACTTTAAATGCAAGAGGGAAGAGATATGGGGATATATGTATATGTATAGCTGATTCACTTTGTTATACAGCAGAAACTAACACACCATTGTAAAGCGATTATACTCCAATAAAGTTGTTAAAATAAAAAAAAGAATAGACTTTAGGAAGAAGAAAATAAACTCACAGGGAATGTTTTAGAAGCACGATGGAATAACAAGCAAAAAAGAAAAAAGGTAAACAATGACAGCACACAGTAATAATAATACTTAGTGTGGAGTTAACATTTGTGGAGGTAGAAATCCAATTTGTGGGGCTGAAAACCAAACAACATAACAAATAAAGTAATAACATAGACCAGAAGAGGAGTTATTAATGTTAAACACTTTAAGGTCCTGTGTTATTCAGAAGGAGAGTAAAGACAATAATTTTATATATTAAATTAGATATGTATTAACATTTCTAGAGCAACCATTAAACAATACAAATAGTGTATAACTTCCAATTTAATAGAATGGAAAAATTGAGGTGTGGAAAAAAACTCAACTCAAAAAATGCAAGAAAGAAGGAAAACTATATGTATATACAAGAAAAAATAAGAAATAATATGTTAGGGACTTCCCTGGTGGCGCAGTGATTAAGAATCCGCCTGCCAGTGCAGGGGACACGGGTTCGATCCCTGGTCCGGGAAGATCCCACATGCCACAGAAAGCTAAGCTCGTGCGCCACAACTACTGAGCCTGCGCTCTAGAGCCCGCGAGCCACAACTACTGAAGCCCACGCGCCTAGAGCCCATGCTCTCAACAAGAGAAGCCACCCAATGAGAAACCCGGGAACCACAACGAAGAGTAGCCCCCGCTCACCGCAACTAGAGAAAAGCCCGCGTGCAGCGACAAAGACCCAAGGCAGCCAAAAATTAAAAAAAAAAAAAAAAATAAAGAAAAATAAAAAAAGAAAAAGAAAGAAAAATTAAAAAAAAAAGGAAATCATAAGTTAGAGAAAATAGATGTTAGAGTGAGTCCTAAGTTTAAATCTGGCAAAAAAATGTAACAAGGCCTTTATGAATTAGAGTGTATAACTGAAAGACATTAAAGATGGGTTAAATGAAGAGACATATGATATTCATTGACAGGAAGACTCAATTTTATAATGTTCACCACTTTCCTCTAACAAGCATCCTAATAAGTATGTATGTGTGTAACTCCACTTATTCTAAAATACATAAGGCACAGCAAAAAGCTAAAAACAAAAAAAAAAGTCCGAGACACTCTTAAAAAAGAAGAGCAAGGTAAGAGACACCAGCAAGATCTCAAGACACAGTTATAACATTTGAGTAATTAAGCAAGTGTTGTACTGGTGCAGGAATAGACAAGCAGGTAGATGGAACAGAGCAGAGAACCCAAACACAGACCATGCAAATATCGATACCTGACACGACGGAGGTAACATCAGAGATCAACAGGGAAACCAGGGACATTCAGTAAAGATAGAAAAAATGGGTTTCCGTTTTAAAAAAATGAATTATAATAGATGGCAAACCATAAAACACACACAAAAAATCAGTTCTGGATGATTTAAGAATTAAATGTGAAGGCTAAAACTTTGAATCGGAGGGAATTCCCTGGCGGTCCAGTGGTTAGGACTCGGTGCTTTCACTGCTAAGGGCGAGGTCATCAAGATCTCAAAAACACAAATCATTTAGGGAAAACTCGATAAATATGACTACATTGAAATTAAGACTCTTTATCAAATGGCCCATAAAGACAAAGCACAAACTAGGGGAAGCTAATTCCAACATAAATAACCAACAAAAGATTACTCTCCAGAGTATTATAGAACCAAAGATAAATTTATTTAAAAATCAAGCATCTCAGTGGAAAAAAATGGGCAAAAACTACAAACGTCTTTGTAGACAAAAACACGAAGAGTCCATAACCACAAAAAGATGCTCAACCTCATTGGTAATCAGAAAGTACAAAGCAGTAATCATAATGTGGTACCTTGACACCCGTCAGACTGGACAAAAGAAAAAAACAATTCTGAGAACACCACAATACCAAGTGTTATGAAATAGCGTGGTGGAGACACAGCCTCTGGCAGCGGGACTGTGTACTGCTGTGACGACATACTCATTAGAGCAATTAAAATCATCTATAAATAGAAGATGGGTATTTCCTACCTCCTAGCAATTCTCTTTCTAGGATTTACCTTGGAAAAGCACTTGCACCTGTACTCAAGGAGAAACGTGTGAGAATGTTTATAGCTGCTACAATTAGTGATATTAAGGGGTAGAGGGTGAGGGGGAAGCAACATACATATTCATCTCCAGGAAGACAGATAAATTGTAGCATGTTTAATAAAATACTGTATTCAGCTACAGTAATTAATGAACGATAGCTATATTCCTGAACACAGATGAATCTCACAAACATAACGTGTGAAAAAATAGGTGACAGAAGGAAACCTAAACTATGATTCCACTTATATAAACATTCAGAAGTACACAAGCGTAAAGCAATGGGTCAAAGAAGCCTTAACTGTTACTGTATAATTTGCACTTTGTAATATCTGGTCCCTGCATGGTTCATTAAGCTTCAGGCTAACAGAAAATTAAACATTAACTATGTGGCAGGAAAAAAATCTGCGAACTCAAAACCTTCAGAATCCATCTACAAACTTTTAGTAAATATCTGTGCAGGAAGTTAGAAAGATCGTCTTAGGCTACCTTAAAAATGCCATCGGTAAATCAGACTTTATCCTAAGTTCCGGTCCTTCCTCAGGCCACCCGAGCATGAAGTACTGTCACCTGCCCGCATTAACTTGCCGCAACACTGGTCCAAGCGGGTTGTGTCCGCTGCATGCCTAGACCACCGCAGCGATCTGTCTGGACAGTGTCCCTGGAGACGCCTGAGCGACATGTCCAGGGCACAGATCTCGGCTCTGGTGTTTGGCGTCGGGGGCTTTGGTGCTCTCGTCGCTGCCACCGCGTCCAATGAGTGGAAAGTAACTAACTACCCGAGCATCCTCGGTGATAACGGCCACTTGGGTTACCAGGGTCTGTGGATGAACTGCGCAGGTAACGCGTTGGGTTCTTTCCATGGCCGACAGCCCTTTATTATCTTCAAAGTAGAAGGTAAATATAATAGCTTTGTTTGGGGTAGAAGTAAAATGTTGCTTTTCCCCTTACTGTGCTGAAGTGGCTGTATACAGTTGGCTGTGAACTGCGTGCTTAACCCAAGTGCCAAGATTGGCCTAGGATGGACGGGGTCTTTTACACGGCAAAGGAGAGTTACGAATAACTTTATGGGTATTTTAGAAAAGTACCTAGCGAATAATAGACTCCAAAGAAAGTGACTGGCTTCTTTCACAAACTAGTTCAATTGGCCTTGCATCATGGAGGAATTATATACTATATTTGTACATATATTATATATACTTACATATTTATACACACATGCCGTCAGCAGATCGCACATTATTCTAAATTCCTGTATTTCTCAGGCCATCTGAGCATAAAATCCATACACACACATATGTACATTCATATATATATATTCACAGTGATAGAAGCATATGAGAAGACGGATAGTGTTGAGAGAGGGAGGAATTCTGCTTTTAGAGGAGTTTCCATATTTTTTTTAAAAAACTCATATTTAGGGCTTCCCTGGTGGCGCAGTGGTTGAGAGTCCGCCTGCCCATGCAGGGGACGCGGGTTCGTGCCCCGGTCTGGGAAGATCCCACATGCCGCGGAGCGGCTGGGTCCGTGAGCCATGGCCGCTGAGCCTGCGTGTCCGGAGCCTGTGCTCCGCAACGGGAGAGGCCACAACAGTGAGAGGCCCGTGTACCAACCGCGAAAAAAAAAAAAATCATATTTAATGATAAAATAGCTGAGCAAGAAAATTTTAAAAAGTATTTAGGTGAAAGAAAATACCCATGATCTTTCCCTTTTTGCTACTTGATTTTATTAAAAATATATATCTAGACAAGCTTTCAATGTTTTGCATGTTAGGAACTATTACAAGCATATGTATGTTAAAGAGGGAAAACATTTTAAAGGCATTTTCAGGGAATTCTCTGGCAGTCCAGTGGTTTGGACTCCGTGCTTTCACTGCTGAGGGCCCAGGTTCAATCCCTGGTTGGGGAACTAATATCCCACAAGCGTGCGTGGTGTGGCCAAGGAAGGAAGGAAGGAAGGAGGAAAGAAAGACATTTTCAGTATAATCTATAAGAATATTGAATCATTATGTTGTACACCTGAAACTAATATAATATTGTAAATCACCTATACTTCAAAAAAAAGAAAAAGGGCATTTTCATACCTCAGCATACCTCCAGGGGCACAATTATTGGCTGTTGGCTTGTATGTCATTATAAGAATCACTATCTGTATCCGCTTTCTGCCTATTTGATTATTTCTACAAATCTGCCACAAGTTGTGGGTTTATTATATTTAAAATTGACCCTGGTATTTTATAATATACAGACTTTTCACAATCAAATTGCAAAACTGTACTTTGGCCCCAGTAAAGAAAATGAAATAAAATTTTAACTAGGAAGTTACCAAAGCATCATATTTTATGGGATTTTGTGTCAAGTATTCACGTTATTAGTCCACAGTGCGTGCCAAGGAATAAAGAGAGGATACTTATTTAAAGCCAGGAGATTCTAATGACAATCGAGGGACGTGTTCAAGCTTGGACAGCCCAGGTAGGCCTCCAAATAACATGGACTTTCCTGAGCACCCATTAGAGGAATCAATGCTGGTCTCTCTTCAGTCCCAGCTACTAAACTTACTTTGGGATATTTCAAAATTGTTCCTTCTAAAAAAAAAAAAAAAAAATTGTTCCTTCTACTACAGAAGGTTTCCCTAGGTGCAGGGAAAACTGTTAAAGGAGAAGAGAATTATGGGGACACGGTTGTCATTCCACAGACCTCTTGGCCCATTCCCACCTTGAGGCAGCAGGTAGAAGTTATGTCATGTGGCTAAGTGTATTTCTTTGTTCTTTACTGAGCTCATCCTTTAAATATATATATATATTTTTTTCTTATTATCCTTCATTCTGTATTCCTTAATGAAGCCCAGGTATTGTGAAAAATAGGTGTTCGACCTTAGCTCCAAAGTAGATTGCTGTTAGGATTTCAACAGCTGCTTCCAAATGCATCTTAGGAAACATGGAGTTAGAAATTTTGCTTCTAAATAGTGTTGGTGGTGGTCCAAATAATCTTCCACCCTTAAAACTTGACCCTTTTGATTTTGCTTCTCAACAGTAAAAATAACGTATTCTATGTCTGCTGTGTACCCTGCACACAAAAGGTAATTTGGAAAACCTTGTCCACTGACAATGCTTCAATTAGAATTTGTAAAATTCATTTAACATAATCTCTCCACTTTCTTCATCCTGAATCAAAATCTTTATCAAAGATACAGGTTACTACAGAAATCTATATTCAACATCAGGAACACTGATTCATATTTCCAAAGGAAATGGACACTCACCCATTTGGATGTCCTCATTCACACGGAGTCATTGCTGACGAAGCTGGTTGCTTTTCCTTTATTCCTGTTTGAAAACACAACAGTGGGGTGTTGGGAAGCTTTCTATGCCAATAGGCTCTCAAGGGTCACAATGATTCCAAATTGAGAAAAGAACCCACAATCCAAAGAGGAACGAAAATGGTTATATCGCATTTTAAAATAATAAACGATTTAAGCCAACATCGTGAATTTGAGACAAATCTTCTTAGACTTAGGCCACATTAAGCCTCCTCTAAGAAAGAACAACAGAAAATCTTTTTAAACTGCTAGATTTTTTTTTTTCCCTTGCTGGTTACATAACGTCACTGTCAAAGTCATACCTTCTTGTTGCTAACTAACCCTCTTAGATGACCCAGTATAGCTACAGTTTTTTAGGAATTCATTTACATTAGTAGTGACTACAACCTTAAAAGATTTGATGTAAGCCAGCATTTCTTTGGACAAGGGGCATTTCCAGTTGTGAAAAACACAGGCCCTCTTCAACTATAGTTCTGTGGAATCCATTTCAGGACAACACCATAGGGACACTTGTAATTCAATCCTCATTGTGGACTGAAAACTTCTTGACTCAATTTCAAAAGCAATTCACTGTCTTTAGATGCAATATCCACTCTGGGCTGTGTCTCTTGTTTTGTTGTGTTGTGTTTTTCTCTCTTCTCGATGTTGGTAGAGAGTTTTAACTGTGAAAGCAAAGCATCTCTCACAGGGAGAGCAGCAGTTAATTTCTGACGGGGAAGGCTGGATCCAGAAAGCATGGCTCCAAGGAGAGAGTGAAGCTGAGTCATGGTCGCCTCGAGGGCAGGACCTGGTCTGTGATGGTCTCCTTGTGCTCCAGGCACACAATGGGCTCTGGATACATAGTTGCAAAATGACTGAATGAACAAAATAATAAGGAGACAGTTTGTGATGAGGGCAAGATTGTATTCCTGGACAAAGGCTGGGGTGTTGAGGAATGATTTAGGATGGGTACTCAGGCAGGAAAAAGGAAGATCACTGGACAGCAATCCAGCTGACTGAGCTTCAAGTTCTGACTCTTTTATTAGCTAGTCTCACGATCTTGACCTTGGTAATGAAACTCTCTGTGCCTCATTCATAAATTTCCTCCTCCATAAATTGAGAGAGCTGGATGCCAGGAGTCCCTTAAGGTAGGTTTCTACTTGAAGTTCTCTCAAGAACTTTACAGTCCTTGACCACCTCGAAGTAGAAGTTCACTACAGAATGATGGCTATGGGACTTCCCTGGTGGTCCAGTGGTTGAGAATCTGCGCTTCCACTGCAGGGGATGCAGATTTGATCCCTGGTCAGGGCAACTAAGATCCCAAGATCACGCATGCCCTTCGGGTGCGGCCAAAAAAAAAAAAAAAAGCTGGCTGTAAGAGGCTCCTCTAACGTAATTGATCCTGATAGCCCTTTTCTCCCCCTCCCATTATCTATTATCTTGCTGGCTTCCTGGTTCCTGACAGTATAGAATCTTATCTGCATCTGTGTGGAGATAGGTCTGAATGACCTAAATGACCACATGACTCAAGTGAGTGTGCCAGGGTTTCGGTGGAATGGAGCTAAACACTACTCTGGAAGCCGGCGGTCACGGGATGCTGGCTGCGTGTAGGAGTGTGGACCGCTCCTCACCTGCCTATCCTTCACCTCTCTCCCCATCCCCTTAACAGCCAGGCCATAAGGATGGGGGGAAAGGAATGGCATTTGCTAAAGAAAAGGGTTTCTGTGGGTGTTTATTCTCATAGGGGATAGTTTGGGGCCATCTGATGTTATAACTTTATTTTTTTTATTATTATTATTATTTTTCGCGGTACGCGGGCCCCTCACTGTTGTGGCCTCTCCCGTTGCGGAGCAACAGGCTCCAGACGCGCAGGCTCAGCAGCCATGGCTCACGGGCCCAGCCGCTCCGCGGCATGTGGGATCTTCCTGAACCGGGGCTCGAACCTGCGTCCCCTGCATCGGCAGGCAGACTCTCAACCACTGCGCCACCAGGGAAGCCCTGATGTCATAACCTTAGATTTCTTCCTGGTTGAAATGTGTGCCTTAGTCCACAATGAAATAACAGTGAAAATTGGCTTGAGTAATTTAGATGCTTCGAAAATATTTTCAAAATAACACATTTGATAGATCTGTGTACGCTTGGAAGGCATTTAACCTTTAATCTCAGGACAGGTGTCCATTTGCTAAGATTCTTAGTGCTTTCTGAGACTTAATTTCATTAAATAAGCCTAAGGTTAATTTTAATTTAGTTTTATTTTCTTGCTGTGTTCCAAATGCGTATATAGTTATCTAAAAGTGTATGGAGGGCTTCCCTGGTGGCGCAGTGGTTGAGAGTCCGCCTGCCGATGCAGGGGACACGGGTTTGTGCCCCGGTCCGGGAAGATCCCACATGTCGCGGAGCGGCTGGGCCCGTGAGCCATGGCTGCTGCGCCTGCGCGTCCGGAGCCTGTGCTCCGCAACGGGAGAGGCCACAACAGTGAGGGGCCCGCATACCGAAAAAAAAATAAAATAAAAAATAAAAGTGGATGGAAAAACTCAAGTTCT